AGTCAGTTCTTTCAAAACCACAGACAGAAGGTCACTGCTTTTTCTTTATTTCTGGTTAATGTTCACACAGGTAAAAACTATCAGAGCTTTAAATGGTAGGACAAAAGTATGCACCATAATTCACAGAATAAAAGTCTGTAGCAAATACCAGATTCATGAATAAAAGAAGCCCCTCTCAGTCTCTGTCTGCCTCAGTGACTGTGCTGCTGTTGCCTTAATGACAGCCTCTTCTACAGTGCACATACAATACCATGAAGCAGAAACTCAATATAAGGTACGTAAACACTAACCTCTCTTGTATTTACCAGATAAATATCTCTGACTTTATCAGGTCAGTCTCCCATATTTCAGTGTCCTCTAGTAGAACTCTCAATACACTCCTCCATTAAAAATGAAGGAAACAATTAAAAGAACTAAACAATCGAGCCCACCCTTCTGTTCCTTTGATATTCAGTGCAGTCATGCAACCCTGCACTGTTTATGTTGTTGCTCACATTAGCAAGCCATGTGCAAGTTTAGATACTACTTCTGCTTCCTGTACAATATTGGAACATGGAGCTGAAGTCTACCTTTCATCCGCACTGAAGAACAGTCGTGTCACAGTGATATGAAGTTGACTTTAAAGAGGAAAAATGAAAGAGCATTATAACTGTTTGAAGTTAAGTTCATCAGAAATAACAAGATCACTCTTCCTCTTCTCAAAGTGCTACAAGACTTTTTGTGAAAGTAGTTCAGGATCTTATGTCTGTTCTAATTGTGTCTGTGTCCCCACATATAGTACCAGGACAGTGGTCCGGGACAGTGGTTCAGCACTAGCTCTTCACTGTACCATGCTACATGAGCTAGGTCTTCTCACACATCTTCCTTCCTTCTTACTGACTTGTATAATCCAAATTCGTCTTTGAGAATCAAAAATATGTTTCCAGGAAGTGGTATGGATATAGAACACCAGGCAATAGCTTTGTTGTTTTTAAAACACACACAAAAATGGGTTAATGGAGTAGTTTAAGAACATCCTGACTTTTTTTTCCCCTTCTTTCTTTTCCTTTCATCCTGAACATTAATAGGCCATGTTTTCTCAGCCAGAAACCCCCTGTCTGTTATCCTATACTGTTTTGTGTAAACGCATGTTTAAGGCAATACTACCCTCAGGCTTCTGTCCCATGTTTTCGGGAAGAACACATATGATTCCTCTCTCCACCCCTTTGCTACCAATGTCACAGAGGTAATGACAGCACACAAACAGAGTATTAGTCAGATACACCTCTTTTCTTTATCATATTATCCTCTGGGATAAAACTAATAGCAAAGAAAGGCCTTTAAACATTTGCTGCCTGCCTTGAATACACCTTAAGGGTTGTTGAGAGCATGGGAAGGATGGGAATTGCCAAGGAAAGGAAAGAGATGGAAGAGATTAAAAATTAAGAGGCTGAAAAGGGCAGCGAACAGAGAGGTAGCAGCTCATTCTTACTACATCCATTCATCCATATAACATGACAAAAGGAAGACAGTAAGGCAAATATTCAGCTCATTTATCTTCCATAATTACCTGCATATCCATGCTTTTCAGCAGGAAATACGCGTTATTCCTTTGTACTTACACACACATATTCTGGACTATTTATAGAAATGGCAGTCTTTCTTTGGTGAAAGCCAGTCAGATTTTCTCAATTCCTTTTAGGACTTTTTTTGTTCTTGTATCCACATAATTTTAAGAAGGGAAATCACTGGTTAGTGTAACTGAACATCTGTTCTTGCTGTCTCTATCTGTACAAGAGAACACAATCACTGAAATAAACATAGATGCTTTCTGATATTTTAAAGAGGAAAAAGAAAACAAAAAAAGGTATACTGTAACAGTGTTATCAATGTAGATAGCTTTACTAGAAAAACACAAAGCAAACCAATAAACCCCTAGATTTTTCACTTGAATTATCTGCATTACTTTTGCTAGTCAGTAAAATATTTATTTTACTCACATTTCTGTGTTTGTTTGCTTTGAGGAAAAAAAAAGAGAAAATCCATTTCACATTTTTAGAAGCATCACAAGTATATAGAGATTGCATATATATTCGCAAAACAGAGGGTGGGCACAGCACATCTTTCTTTAAAAACATAGTGACACGTGATTTGCAAAGGAAACTGCATTTACTTTGCTTCATTCACATTTACTGCATTTACATGTGGAAACTGAATTTACTTCAGTAATAAAAAAAAACAACTTTGAAGTATTGCTCCAAAATCAGTATAGGGGAAAAAGGGAAAAAAAAACAAAACAAAACAAAAAAAAACCAAACCAAAACAAAAACCCCCAAAACAAACGCAAAGAAAATACATAGACAACTTTATAATCACTGTAAAGATTGTTAGGGGCAAGTGATCTCAGGAGTACAAATTTATGCACTTAAACTGTGATCTTCTGAGTGCAGTTTAACCACAGAAGCCGCAAAAATAAACGGCAAATAATTTTGAAATAGTGTCTTCTATAGAAGAAATACTAAATAAAAATATCTGAAAACTAATGTCATTCATATGTTAATAAAGATGTGATATTTGTTTATTTTATGTGCTTTAAAGACAAGAGAACATCTGTAACTTGAAGACCAATAATGGGTACTAGATACTTTCTTCTGAAGGATGAGTCTTAACCTACTACCTCGTAATCCATCCCTAAAAATCAAATGAACTTCTGGGAACATATCACTTGTTTGCAAGACCAATATGGTCTTTTAGAGCACTCAGGGATGTGAACTCAATGTACAACGGAGGAAAGTGTTACAATGACGTGCAGCCTGTTTTAATATGGGGAGAGAGGAAAAAGGGCATCAGAAACAAACGTAATAAACCGCACATGCTAGAAGAACACTTTCAGGGGCAGACTTTGATTTCTTTCCCCAAGATAATGTATCTATGCCAAGATGCAACATTGCATCTAGATGTGTTCAGTTGAAGTCGCTGTAGCGCACAGTGAGTTCCTGCTTACTCTGGAACTTTCTGAAGGGCTCAGTCTAACAGCAACTCAGGGAAAATCATAGAGAAAATGCCATTTCAGCATGAGCCAGTAAAATGCCTGAGAAATGAGAGGGGAAAACCGCAAAAATAAAATGGACTTCTTGAATGTGATAATAAAATTCTGCTGATTTTTTTTTTTCCCTGCAGTGGTAAGGCTGTGCCTGTCTGGCTTAGTATTAACAAGTAGATTAAGAACATTGGAAAGGCCACACCAGCTCAAATCAAAGGTCCATCTAGTCTGGATCTCTTTCTTCACAGAGATAGAAAAGCAGAAAGAGTATAAAAGTAGAGCAAATTATATTTTACCAAATAGTATCCCAGAGTTCCAACAACTTAAGACTTAAGGGGTTTGTGAAACAGGATTTTCTAGCTCAAGGATGTATTATGAAGTATAAGCATTAAAAAAAAAAAAAAAATCTCATTTTAGGTTTGTCTAATACCCCTAGTTCCTGTACTGGAAGAGACAACAAGTATTTGCTCTCTATTCACCATCTCAAGGACCATTGGTATTTTATGACTTGTATCCTGTCTCCCCTCAGCCAGCTACTGTGCAGAACAGTGTGCTGCCCTGCTTTTCAAGTTCTCCAATACCTGTCCAGAATTGTAGAGATACTCAAGACAGAAGCAAGTGAAAGTTTTGAAGACTGGCATAATTAATATACTCTACTTCATTCTCTTTTCCCTTCCTGGTAATCCCTAATAATTTGAGGGCACAAAGCATTTTCGAAAAATTTAGATATTAAACTTGCTTTGTGACTCTTGATGATCAGTGGAATATGGAATCTTCACTACATGCTGTTCAGACTGATGCTTCTTGGGTGCAAGAGAAGTATAAGCGTAAGGTGAAGGCCAAATGCAAAATCACCTAGACAGCTTCTTTTTAGGAAAGGAAGAAAAAGGGTTAGAGGAAACACTATAACAGAATCTTGAACAGGTCTAATATTTAGTCAGTTCAAATCTAGAAAACACTAGCCTGTCAACCCCTGAGACTAGCAGCACTCCAGCAAACCAGAGTGCTTGCAGCAGTGTACACCCTAACAGTGTCCACGTCGTAGCTGTTGTGACTGCTCAGGGTAAGTCTCTTTGTTAGAACTTGTGTCTGATTGTTTTCTACTGCCACATCATTCACAGAAATCAGTGAATTTCTGTGTGACTGTGACTGCATCTCAGCCACCAGTCTCATGAGCACAATTCTGTTGTGCGCCTAAAGTCCATGTAGGGGTAAGACCATGAAGTGTCTCCTGTAGTCCTGATTAATTTCTTGGAAGCTGGAGAAGTCATTTGTACATATTACACAAATGGAGGTTTAGGATAAATATGGTTTGATATAGCAGAAAAGCATCTTCTTTCAGGATATAGAAGTTATATAACAGATAGGTACCATACAATTTTATAAAATGCTTGCAAATCAGTAGATAATCTGGAAAATATTCGTGAAATACTCAACTGTTTTTATCTTCTCAAGCTGATCTTCTCAAGCCTTTAGTGGGGGACATGGGGATGAAGAGCAACATCACAGATGCAATGAAAATATGATCAGTAGTTTTTGTGCTCTCTCTAGTGTATCTGGTCTGAAATCATACTGGCTTTCAATAATTTGCTTGGACCTTTCTACATTGTTCATGTTGGGTGGAGGCTTGGGTGACATGGTTTAGTGCAAGGTGTTCCTGCCCGTGGCAGGGGATTGGAACTAGATGATCTTAAGTTACTTTCCAACCGTAAATATTCTATGATTCTAAGTTCCCTCAAACAATAAAGTTTACTATTCTTATATATGTTTTTTTAAGGAACCTGGAAAAACTGACACTGCACTTAGACTGCACTAGTTTCCTAAAGCTGAAATTTTAAGAAAGCACATTATGTATTTTTATATGTTCCGAGTTGTTGTGGTTAGTAATTTATAGGATTTGCATGAATCAGGACTGCAGAAAATGGTCTATAATTTTGATGAATTACTGATGTTTTTCCTGTCCAATTTCTCTCATCAGTGTTACTAGTAACAATCTTTGTTGTGGAAGGGATTGCCGTTGCACAGAAGACACAAGGTACAATTTTGGTTTGATGATTTTCTTTCAAAAAATGTAATGGTTTTCTCATTTTTAAGTATGCAATATAACTGAAAGAAAGTATTTGTGTTCAGATATTAATACTTCTTGAATTACCAATATGAATTCCAGTATTTTCAATTTTCCCTCCATTTACTACTTTTTTTTCCAATTGAACAAAACCATCCAGTCACAAAGAATTTGGAAGTTCACTTACCCAGTTAAAATTCTATGGATTTAGACCTTAGAAGTGGTAAAAAAAGCACCACGGAAATGCATGTTTTCTGTGTCTGACAAGCTTTTCAAATAGTCCACCCACAACCATTTTTGAAGCTTGCTGAGTGGAGAAGGCATCGGTTTCGCAAAACTTATTTTCTTACATGTGGGATTAACCCACTCTTAGGAGAGAAGAATTCCTAGAACTGACACCTACAGAATTTCCCTTAAGAATTTCTGAGGGAGAGACTAAGTTTTCACCCCCATAAATCCAAAACCTGCCAAGATACCAGTGAAAGGTGATATAATTTACTGGAGGCAGCCAAGATCTGTATCAGCATGGACTCCCTCTCAAAGCTGTGCAAATTTAAGCCATTTAAATATAAATAACATTATGAGAGCACCCTGTAAGATTTAGGAAAAATCTAGCAGAAACCACATATCCTGTGTTTTGCTCCAGTTCTGCTGATAAAAAGGAGAAGGGCCAAAGGTACTTGGGAAGAATGTCAGAGATCATACTATTCCCAACTCCTTTCTCTTTGGATAAGAAAATCTGATCTAACAAAGCTCCTGCAAAGGGTCCAGCATGGTGCAGGGGCTTAGTAAACTGCATAATCTCAGTCAAGGACAATATTTCCTTGTACATCCAGAAGAGCTTTCATCTTAAGTGAGACCCTTAGCTACCAGTGCAACCTAGCTATTGCAAGTAATTTCATTAGCTACCATTGTTGCATTTAATGTATTCTACAAATCATAATTTGTTCTGGTTTAAGCATTTTGTATTTAAAAAAAATACTGTAAATAAATGTTTAGCCTAAGGGCCACATATTTCAGTATAATCTGGAATCAGGGCAAAAATAGTAAAAGCTAACAAATATTTTTGATTATATTATTTGTGTAGGAGTAGAGAAGGCATAAGCCGTAAAATAATGCTGGTGTATTGGCAGCCACTCTATTTGACTTAGAAAGAAGAACATCAAAAAGTCTAAACTGGCTTGGGTAAAAAAATAAATAAATAATAAATTTACCCCCTCTCTTTCCTTCCCAAGGATTACTCAACATATTTGATATTCTGAAACTGTGATCTCTCTAAGGTATACCACATCACTAAATTAAACATAAGATTTTCCTTTCTAGAAATTAGCAAGCAGCATAGAAGAGGCATTTCAACCAAAGTAAATTACTTTCTTCTTTCATAGGATATGGGTTATATCAGTGTTTTACTTTTTTGCAAAATCAAACTTGCATGTTTGCAGGAGAAATTTATTTGATCATTTTTTTTTTCCACTTAAGGTGGGCAAAATATTGGCATGAATCGTATTCCTCCCACTCAGTGTGACAACTGGGTAAGGACAAGTAATGGAGGACATTTTGCTTCACCAAACTACCCTAATGTGTACCCACCAAATCAAGAGTGCATCTATATCTTAGAAGGTACATGCTGTCTTTCTCTTTTGTTGTGTTGTAATCTTACTGTTCATTGGATAATCTTGAACTGTTAAAACTGTGTCATCTTACTATACTGTCAAGTACCATATAGCCATATTGGTAAAATAATCAATTCTTCAGTCATTTGGTTAAACAAGAAACTGAATTTGCTCTCTGAACTAATAACAACAGATTAATAGAAAATGCAGTCATTCAGGAATTAGCTGTATAGAATAATACATACACTCACAGCCAGAAAAAGGAGTGTCAGATCTACTGTAATGTATGAAGACACAGAACTACTGAAATTAAAACTGTAGCTTGTTATCTTAATATCACTTCCAATATTGCAGATAATAAAAAGCAAAAAATGCATGAAGACTGTCTTCAGCATTTACGAGACCTTATCCTATTATTCAAAGTGTATCCCACAAGAAGAAAATCTTTATACTGCCCTTTATTAATGAAAACAACACATCTGACTGCCATGGAGCTGTACTAAAAATACGGAGATTTGTTAGCACTGTGGAAGTCACTACTGAAATAATGTGATGAGGACAAAGAAAAAATTAATTAATTAGAATAAAACCACATTCCAATGAAATATCTTGGGTAAAGGCTGCAAGACTTGGGACACACTAATTATTTTTTCCTCTTACTAGAATACATCCAAAACCCACTGAAGTTAGCTAAAAACATTAGCTGGCTTAATGATCAGATTCATAGCAATTAACTGAAATATTTCAAGCAACATGTTTCAGTGAGGTTTTATATGTACAGTATAGTAGTGGTTGACAGACCCTCAGTTTTTTGCTTCTATGCATGCACATCTGAAGTTCTGCATCTTTCCTGCCGGTGAAAGCATGGGGGGCAGATGTGTCCAGCTTCAGCATCGGCACGTATCAGATTGACTGCTGGATCTCCCTGATGCGAGGCAGTTTCCATGAGGCATAAAGCCTCACAGTCCTTATACAGAGACATGGTTACTTGAGTGAGACCAAGGTCTTCCACAATTTCTAGCTAAAATATTCCTGTAGACCTATGCCAGTATGTGCAGCTACAAATGTTTTTAACTCATGTATAAGGTCTAAACAAAGTTTTGCAGACATACAAGTAAATCGTTTTTTGCATTCAGAAGCCACACAGCATGTGGTTCTTTAATGCTGTCATTCCAGGTAACCAGTTAGCATCTGAAAGTTCATGTAGTTTAATAGATGACAAGAACAAGAAACACTTAAGCCATTCATACAATATAAAGTCACAGTTCTGAACTACAGATGCGAAAATCTGGTCACAAGGTGGCCATAGCTGCATCTCCCCAGGACTGAGGGATCCAAGTCCTGATGCTAGACTGCCACTGGTTCAGAGTTAGTAGTTACCTGCATATTAATAATGTATATGAAGCATTTACACTTCTCTGAATATTCTAATAAAAGATATCGCCTGCCAAAGTATCTCCAGATTTAGGTTTAATGGTTTGGAAATGTACCAGTAAGTAGTTATTCATATTTATTTCTTTTCCATTCTTTTCTGTATCCCTCAATGTTTTGTCCTTTTTTAATATACTTTGCTTTCACAGAATGCTGATTTTAATTTTTATTTAATATTAAACCCTGTCTGAATACTTTTGCATATATGTTAGTATCTGTTACATGTACTGAATTCAATGTATCTTATTTCTGAATTTTCAACAATAAAGATCAGCAAGCAAAAATAATTCCTTTAAAAAAGATCTCTGACACAGTAATTTTTTTTATTATTATTAAAGCATATCTGAGGTTTTGTAGCTGGAGGCCTGTCTGTTCATTATTTCATGTCTTCATTTGTTTTTTATGTAGATCTTCATTTAATCTTTTGCTTGATTTTTTATGTCTAGCTGCTCCACGACAGAGAATTGAGTTGACCTTTGATGAACCTTATTACATAGAACCTTCATTTGAATGTCGCTTTGATCATCTGGAGGTTCGAGATGGACCCTTCGGTTTCTCCCCTCTCATTAATCGTTACTGTGGTCTGAAAAGTCCGACACTAATTAGATCAACAGGGAGATTTATGTGGATCAAGTTTACTTCTGATGAGGAGCTGGAAGGAAAGGGATTTCAAGCAAAGTACTCATTTATACCAGGTAAAGGTGCCTAACATTCTGACCGATTTAATGACTGTCCCCTCCCATGGAATTCTGTGATGTGTTTATGCTGGCAGTCTAGAGTTGTGTATTTCATCCTAAGTGCTTATGAAAGCAAAGTGACAATGCAGTAGTTACAGACTCAATCTTGCTAATCCTACAGCGTACTGAACTAAAACCACTTTTGAAAATTGACTGAAGGAAATTGCAGGTCTACAGTTTGCTAGAGAAGAAGTCAGTTGGTCTTGTTTGTGCTGAAGGCTTTACCAACTTCCCTCTTTGCTACTACTCTAACTTGTACCAGTACTTCACCAGTGTTAGTAATGGAAAGAGCATTTATGTAGACAAATAGCTGACGTTTCCAACAACCTATGATCCAAGAATATAAGATACTATGACAAAAACACCTGAAGCACATCTACAGTAGCACTTCCAGCCATATGCAAAGCATTTTAAATCTCCATTCTGAAAAGCCAGAGGAAATACCTACACAGTCCAAGCATCAGCTCCCAGTATAACTAGATTCTCTCAACTCACAGGCTCAGACAACAGACTTGTTCTTTGCTTAAAGTACTGTGTAGTTTACAGGGTATGGAGGAGAAGATAATATGCTGACAGTGTCTTTATTAAAACAAAAGTACATCTGCTCTATGGGGCCACTTAAAACTGGCAGGACATTCTTTTTATGGGAAAATTTGACCTGGTGTCCTTGTGCAATGCTTGACTGCTGTACTTCATAAATCCTACATGTGTAGTTATCAGCATTTTGTTGTCCTATGGGACAAAAGACAGTATACAAATGTCAGCTTTAATACTACTATAAATGTATACACAGACATAACTTTTTAATGTCACCTTTACTCAACTGGTCTTTACTCCCACAGCACATGAAAACACTGTACGTGATTATGTCTTACTGCTCATAGAACTGTGTACTTTACTAGGGATTTAGACTTGGAAACACTTCAGATTAAGAAGACCACTGAGAGTCCACTGAGAGTAACACACTAAAATGTTTTCATAGGGTCAGTACTTAAGCATTTTGTTAAGTTCATTTCCAAAGCCATTTCATTAGCATCACTGTCAAAACTAACTTAGCCTAGTTCCAGGCTAGAACTTAAAATATACTGTATATTATTTTTGCAATAGATTGTAGCAACTGAAGGCCCAATTTATTATTTTTTTCCTTTTCTTTTCTCTACATCTGCATGGAATGTGGTAAAATATTTTGGGATTGTACAAATGGAAGGGGACATGCACATACATATCATCCCCCCCCCCAGTTCAAAAAAAAAGTTAAAATTTTCAGTGAAAAGTTCAGAATGTAACGTAGGAACAATGTACCGAATAGTGATAGTTCTGTTATGCTGGAAATCTGTGCTGTCAGTATAGCATTACGTTATTCAGATCAGGTCAATCTTTGTGGAATAATGTTCTCAAAAAAAAAAAAAAATCTGTAGCCTGCAATCAATTCAGTAAACAATTTTTATTGTGATATAGTAATAGACGTAATCTTTAGCTTATACTAAAACTTGAAGTGATTCTCAAGCACGTATAGCCCATATGATTCATGACTTCTTTCTTTTACAGATCCTGACTTCACTTACCTAGGAGGTATTTTAAATCCCATCCCAGGTCTAGTATTACAGTAGCAATTTCTTTATACATTAAATTTTAAATTAATAACATTCTGTATTTGACTGCAAAGTATATCTTCTCCCTAGACTGCCAGTTTGAGCTCTCAGGAGCTGATGGAATAGTACGTTCTAGTCAAGTAGAACAGGAAGGAAAAACAAAACCGGGACAAGCAGTTGACTGCATATGGACAATTAAAGCTACTCCAAATGCTAAGGTGGGCTTCATTCATATCATTCAACATATAATGAGTTTCCAAGTCGTTAGTAACAGGTAATAGTCACTAGCTGTGATTTGCATAATGTTTCACTTTCAGTGAAACAAATTACTTATCAGTACCTTAGGAAATCCAGATAGAGGATTGCTCCTGAAATTAAATTTATAGAACAAGTCCACAGTCTTGTCTTCCTATTATTTGAAACTTAAAATACAAAATAACGAGACGCTGTTCAAGCAACAATTTCCAAGGGCGTTTGACTTGTACTCTGGTTTTATTGGAATATGGCAGGCAAAGATGCTAGCTATCAGCTTTGATAAATTTCCTTAAATCTTGATGCTACATTTAAAAATTTTGCCTCCAGCATTTCTATTGGAAAATTTGGTTTTATTCAAAGTCGGAAGAACACGTACCTGCTTCTCCCAAGTGTAATTCACAATCCAGCACCTTAAACCTCACTTTCAGCAGTAGCTTTAGCTAAAATGAAAAGCTCTAGCTGGAAGCAGCTGATGAATTGTCACTCCTTCTTTTCTGACTTAGCTATAGGATCACACCCTCTTAAAATGACACAATAAAATTTGCTAGAGCTTTTCTGCCCAAGCCCTAAAGGGGCATAGTAGCTGTTCAAGCCAAAAGTCAGCATACATTACCTGGGTGCCTTGTGTTTGTGATTGTGCCTACAGAACTAGAGACTGCTTAGGAAAGCACCACTATCATGCTCATTAAAAACAACTTGAGCTTTATTGTTAGGGAGAAGGATAAAATTCTGTTCATAATTCCAAATATAGCCTGTGCAACAAAAAACAATAGCTATGTGTTTCAGAGACATAGAATGGTTAATATAATTTAGGAGTTGCACTGAAGAATACATACTGTTTTCTCCATATAGTATACACATTTTTCATTTTGCTCCTGTATGTGTGTTAAAGCACGTATCTCTGCTTGTATGTACATAAAAATTAAAAAATATTTCGAAGCAGTAGCTGCCAAGATGACAAACCTACTCTATGCCTTCTTATGTACCCCTAATGGTTAACTAACCAGTCCTGTTAACCAACTTCCAAATTAAAAGTTCAAAACCAGTAACCTAAAAGATGGTAGTAAGAGGACAAGACACGAAAGAAACTAAAACTTTATTAATATATTTGAGCCTTTGAGGAAGTGACTCAACTCCCAGGAGCCCTACGCTAGTCTAATTAATAGTAGCAGTTCTTCCAGAAACAATAATAAAATCATTTTCACCCTACATTGCCACTTGAGTGCACCAGGTCTTATGCCTAAGTATTTTAATAAATTACTGAATGTTGCCAGAAGGCAGAGTTATAGTTTGGTCAGTCCTGCGATTAGATCAGCATCCTAAATTACAGACCTAAAACATTATAGAAAAATAACTCTTAGTATTCTGAGAGTAGCTTCTTAAGCTTCAATTCTGGCAGAATTATGATGATAAGATCCATTTGATCTGATATGATGCAGTCTCTTGAGAAAAATAAACATAGACATTTTTAATTTCCTCAATTTGATTTTGTAATGAAAGTAAATTTTTAAAACTGACACAACTGCAGCAATGAAAGGACTTTTGAAATCTGTGTAACAGATGTTTACACATACAGAGAATAGTTCTACTAAAAGTGTCCTAGTTTATTTTTAACTTCCCTTGTAGTTTCACACCAGATACATGAAGTCAATCATTAAATGAAAATACCATCTCTCAGCTCATATGCTAGCACTTAACAGTTCACACCTATGTTTGTGAGATAAGACCTCAGTGGAAGACAGGTTCTCAATGCAGGTGAGAACAAAGACAGCAGGAGTAAAAAAAAAAAACTGAAGAAAAAATGTATACTGAAAAATAACACAATAGTGAGATGAAGCATGAGATAATATGACACAAGCTGCACCTGTTAATAGAGTGCAAGGGGAGACAGAGCTGGCAACCTGCCTCTGGAAAACATTGGAAAGGAGAAGTCAGGATGTGCAAGTATTGCCTTTTCCTGTGCTCACTATTTTACCATGTTTTCAATACAGCTTGTTAAGTGTGTTTTTGGGGGGGGAATATTTTTTTATTTCGCCACACAAAGTTCGTTGGTTTTGTGTTAGTGAATTCTTTACAATTCTGTTTCAAAAGGCTTTGGCTGTAGCTGAGGTTGTAAGGGAGATACAGCAAAAGGGCAGGAAAAATAGGTAATATGAAAGTTGTAAGCATAGTATTAATCGCCCTTCCCAGATCTTTGCACGCGAAGCCAAGCCATCAATCTACTGTTGCCTTCCCTGCTTCACAAGCAAAACAAGAGCTGGAGATTTTTGTCATTAGGCAGATGCATGAAAAAGCATACTGCCCAAAAGGTCCTTAGAGCCTGTAATAGCATAATAGCAGCCTGAGAGGTAGTTGTAGGCTGTACTCACTCAAAATACATCCGGTCCACGCCTTATCTGAGAAGCATGCTGAAGCGGAGAAGTATCTCTTCTCCCACAGAGCAGGAGATCTCTGCTTTCACCTGGATATATTTCTTCTCTGTCAAAATAATGGCTATCTGAGGAATTTTTGAAGTTTAAGGATGACCTTTGCAGCATGTCTAGGTGACAGAGTTACACGGTTCATTTAACTTCCCCTAGAATTTTGAGAATCCCAATACAACCATTCCGGAGATTAAAAAAGCCTGTGATTTTTCATGTAATTCTACCTGAATTACAATCTTGCATAAGTTTCTTGCTCCAGCAAAATAAATTGTTTATTTTCCAAGTGCCACGTTGGTCTTCCAGTTTCCTTGCTGCATGTGTTCTAACACATACACTGCCCTCTCTTGAATCAGATTCCTGCTTTTAGAGGAATTAAGAGTGGTTTAGCTTATTAGCACATCCTAGATAGACAGCCTTTACTTTTCTTCTGCTTCCATTTTTATTCAAATGACTCCTGACTTCATGGCTTGTGTCTTCCATAACAGTGCTATGGTTCAGTAATTAGCTTTCATTCTGAAGCAACAAATTTTAACTTCCGTGATTTTTCTTCAGAGCCTTTCTGACTAAACTCCTTCCCTCATATTTTAACATTGTTGTTAGGAATTAAAAAAGAAGAAAGGAGAACAGTCAAAATACCATTAAAATTATTTCAGCACATTTATGTGTTTCTCATATCTCTTCTAAAGTAATCGGCTGCGCATGTAACAGAGCTCTTTAGGGCTTTCTTCAGCAAGTGTGTTGGTTTTTACCTTTTTTTTTCCCCCCAAGGGGACTAGAAATATTATCAGAGTAAATTATTAAGTAAACATTGTTTTGGGGAGGGTTGAAGCAAAACAGACGCTTAAACTTCAAGTAATACTCCACATTTACATTTAATGTGAAAATGTAAGCTTAAAAGTGCTGTGCATTGGGAGTTAGACGTGTTTAGGGGGACACAACATCTCCAAGATTTGCTAAGAAAGACTGTCTTTTCTGTATTACTTTTACCAGAGACATTAATTTTTCTTTTCTAACAGATTTATATGCGATTTCTCGACTATCAAATGGAGCATTCAAATGAATGCAAAAGAAACTTTGTTGCTGTGTATGATGGAAGTAGTTCTATTGAAAACCTGAAGGCAAAATTCTGCAGTACTGTAGCAAATGATGTCATGCTGCAGACTGGGACAGGTGTGGTGCGGATGTGGGCAGACGAAGGCAGTAGGCTAAGCAGATTCAGAATGCTATTCACTTCATTTGTGGATCGTAAGTAGATTTTAAAGTGTCTGTTCTCCCTAGTACTTCAGGAATTTCAGGAAAAGCATCAGCTATCTATTATGCAACAGGAACACATGAAAAGATTGTTTCCTTTTCCTTCATGTACTGGCATCTAAATTAAATACTTGCTTTATTATAGTTAAAAGCATGGTTCCTGAAGAAAGGCTTTCCTTCACTCTTAGAAGGTTTATTTTTCATTTTAAGTCAGTAATAATAAAGCCTTAGGCTATGTCTTTCTCACAAAGAGTTATACAAATGAGCACAGACTTACTTTAAAAAGACAGCAGTGTGACTTAAGTGTGCTGTCCCACTAGCCCTCATCTCACAGTTCCCTGCCAGCTGCCACAACAGGCTTTTCTCAAGCCCACACAGGATGTTTAGAAGGCTAGGGAACACATGTAACCCCACAGTGTCTGGAATTACCTCCAGTTTCAGATCTGGAAGTACATGCACTCCAGCTACACCTAAGCTGCTACCTCCTTCTCAGCTGCACCTGACTTGGAGCAATCCCACATGTGCTCCCTTAGCAAAGTCTAGTTGTGTTGCACAACCATGAATAAGCAGTTAAATTCAAACTATTTAAAAAGGTTATATTAAAAGCAGAGCTGTAAATGCAAACTGGATTTCTGTTTGGATCTGACAGCCTGGGGTGGAGATAGATAGTCTTTATTCCCATTGTAAATGAATATGTTTCTTAAAAGTGTGCTTTTTGTGAGATCTTTAAAGTGCTTTCTCTCTGATCTGCCTAGAATATATTGCCTCTCATGTTTACAAAGGACAACATCATCCATATTGCAGAACCTGAAAATAAGTGGCATCTTCAGGACTAAAGTAGAATAAGTTCAGAACTGCAGAGCAGATCTGTAATGCATGGAGAGAGCTGAATAAAACTTATCTGCCATTTCAGGAAATCAGACCTATGCTTATGCCAAAGGTTTTCAAAAGGCTCTGCTTGAAGAATAAGTAGTACAGATCTGCTCTCAAAGAAATACCTTTTTTGACAAAACTAACATATCTGTGGCTTGTCCTGAAAGGGACGCTGGTCACCACCTTGCAAAAAAGTTTAGGCTATAGGTAACAAGTGCATTTTATATTCTGTTCCATAAAACAGTAAAATTTTAACACAAGCTAAAAGTTAGACTTTAGAGACTTAAGAGAAATAGCTAATTGCTTGTGTTGCCTAGATGGAGTAATAAACAATTTCATGGCTCAAACTAGTCTATTGTTTAAGCTACAAGAGGCAATTTAATAACAGATATTGCGCTAAAAACTGGTGCTTACTGCAATTCATAACTTGCAAATTTGAGAACTGCTTTTCCAGTAGCATTTCTGTCCATATAATTATTGATATTAGTGGTAGTGCAAGTTAATCCAGCTTTCAATCTAGAAAATGCTATGAACTTTGCCAGGGAAATTATCCGTTTATATTACAAATGCTGGAGTGGGGTTGGGTTTTTCTTCTGTTGAAGTTTTGGGGGTTCTTTTTGTAGGTTTGATTGTTTTTTTTTTGAGTGCAAGAGGTTGAAACATTAACTACTCCTAAAGCTAGATAACTTTGCCAATGTACAATTTTAATGCAACTCAAATGTCACTGGGAGAAGAAAACCTGAAAAGGTATGTGTTTTTTTTTTTTATTTATGTTCTAACTTGAGATACCATCTTTATTGGATAGGGTAATTGAAAGGTATGTGTCTGAAAAATGTTTCATGTATTTTTAAATTATCCAGTGATAAGCAATTTTTCTAACTGAGAAAAAAAATGAATCTTTGCTTATTTTCAGGTCAGTAGGCTATTTTTCTTTTCTACTTTACTAATGATTTGTAATTATATGAAGCTAACCATGAAAAACAATATTTCTTAAATGATTTACATAAATGAACTAATTGTGCGTGACAGTCACCTAACACACACCTAGTGCTGTTTGCAGATTTGACTAATTCAGCTAATAGAAATGTTAAAAATCCATGTATTTGATTTGTGGTTCAATTCAGTACATGAATAATGCTAGATACAAAGAACACTGTGAACACTGCATCAGTCTTAGGCAGCTGTTATGAGCTCAGCTATGTCCTTGAAGCCCTGGAATGGAACCAGTCAGCCCTTGTGACTTTTAGATTTAGTAATCCCCTGATAAACAAAAGGAAAATCAAGTCTGTTTCTCCTATCTTTATGAACCTGTGAAAAAAGCTATACCCAAAAATGTCAAGGAGACTACACAGAAATGTAAAATAGAGACTGTGCTGGCATATGGAGAAGCAGCAACAGAATGCATCATCCAAATATATGAAACAAAGGAAATGTGTCATACATCATAATTTTTCCTCTGCCTCCAAAAGAACTACAACTTGATACAGATCTATACTGGAACACCAGCAAATACACATGGATCCATGACAACCACTCTGGACACAAATTTCACAGATCCACCTTTATGTCAGTCAGGAATACTTCAGTAGGCGTTATGGCCTATTGCATACATAGCCTTTTTAAGCTATTCTGTTTACATGATGAGCCTATTTATCCTTTTACAAAGTAAAACCTGTGCAACCTTTCTTTCCAAATTCAGGAGAACCTACCTACTCCTTTTTCTGTCACTGAGGCTCTGAAGCCTCATAGAAGGAGTGAGAAGTGCTTTATTCAGGATTAGTCACCCTCCTCTGATGCACTCTTTGGGTTTTGTATTGTTTTTCAGAGAATCCAGACTGCTCAAGAGTAAATTCTTCCTATGAAATCAGAAAGAATATCTATCTACCATATATCTTTAATGTACAACTGACTTCACTCATAATAGACATTTATATAATAAAAAATACCACATTACAAAGACAAAGAGAAAATCAATTTTTTGAATAGTGCCCACAATTCATAAAGAATTCCCCACACATATTAAGTAACATGCTGAAAAGAATTATTACTATTTTTTAATTATTTTTTTTTATGTAAAGGAGCTATACCAAATGTTCACAGAAACATAAAATCTTTAGGGCAACTTTCTAGTTAATTTATTTCTACAAATTTCTAACTATATAGAGAGAAATAGATAAAAAGGTAAACTGTACTCTCACAATCCCTGCATTAGCTCTAACAGGAGGATGTAGGAGCTTTGATTCACAAGCAAGAATGACTTAGATGCCTCCAGTTATTGAAATCTCGTGCAATTACTGAAACAGTCCTCCACAAGCTGAAATCTGATTTGCCTTAAGATATTAATGGGCTCTAAAATGCATATATTCATGAACTGCTTCACAACATCTGCATGGCAGATGCACAGCAGACTGAATAAATACATAACTGGGGATGAACATACGATTTTTAAGTATTTAAAGGCAAGTATTTTAAAGCAAAGTATTAAAGTATTATTTTAAAGGCAAGTATTAAAGCCTTCTTCCATTATCTGTGGTATGTGACTATCTGCTACTCATTTTGAGCAAGAATTTTTTTTGTAGCATTGATAATGCCCTTGCCAGAAATCATATGACAGGAGTAGATCGTCCAATAATTAGTGATTTGCAAGAAAAGTGTTAAAAAAGGGATTAAAAATGAGTATGCATGTTTAAAAAAATTCAAACAAACAAAAAACCCACAACAACAAAAAAAAAACCAACAAAACACCACAGGAATTTACTAGTTCTATTGCTGTGCGTTGATTACTGAAAATTCCTGATGTTTTCTTTCTCTTCTCTTCTGCAGCTCCCTGCTCAGGCAACACTTACTTCTGCCATAGCAACATGTGCATCAATAATTCTTTAGTGTGCAATGGCATTCAGAACTGTGCATACCCTTGGGACGAAAATCACTGCAGAGGTGAATATTATCCAAAGTATAGCCTTTGTCAGCTAGGCTGGTCAGTTTGCCCTTCAGGAAAGTCATGAAATCACTTTTTCCTGGAAATATGCTGAAGACAGCTATTCTACTAATCTCAGAAAGTTGTTCCAAATGTTTTGTTTAAACTCAGGAGACGTGCAGGCATCTTGAATATTGATCCTGCTGCTTTGTATTACTTCATCTTCAGCATAAAGTATCTTATTTTAAAAGGATGTTGGCTTGATAGGAAATAGAATTTAGTATTTGCCATGTTGCAACCTATCCATTTCTGAACTTTAAATGAAGCCAAGATTGTAGGGACAGGTAATATCTTTTAGAGAAAAAAATACAGAGCTTGAAAAAGACAGACAAGCCTTCAAGCATAAAAACCCTGTCTCAAGCAACAGTCTTCAAAGAGAAAAACAATTTTAAAACACTTGTTTTAAATTGTTAATCGCAGGATATCTCAGAGTAAATGCAGCTGCTGCATATGGTGTGAGAACAGGTAGGAAGAATTGTTTAGGAAGCAGGAGTGATCTTTTATGGAAAATGGACAGATGTAAATCACTGCTTTTAGAATACGGGTAACAGGAGTAGTGTTTAAATCATCACAGCTACAGGAAAAATGTGTCTCAGTATCAGGTTTTGTAGGAGAAATTCTCATGAGGAAACCTATTCTGCTAAACTGCAAATATGTTCATCTGTGCTGCAACAATCACTGAATTTTCAGAGTTGAAACAAAATAAATTTAAAGTCAACAGTTTCTCGTGGTAAAAGAAAGCAAGAAAAGAGCACATGTGAACAGGGTTGTTTGCTGGTTTGGGGATTTTTTTTTACAAAGAATGGCATAAATAGGTCTGCACACATAACTCCAGAAACATTTAAATACTAACTCCATTTCAAAGAGAAATCGACCCTGAAGGAAGGGTCAAAACCTTCTTTACAGAAAATCTTGAAATCAGATGGCTTTTCAACACACGAATCCTGCTTAAATATTTAGTAAATATGTCTTAAAAACCTTACTTTGAAATTTCATTTGGGGCAAACAAAAAAATACGCATCACTAATAAATACTCAAATGCAATGTATATTCTGGAAGCTTTCCAGTTAACAAAGCTGATCCATAACTCCCAAGTTTTCAATGTAAAAGTGAGCTCCTCCAAACAATGCTTAGCTTTGTTAATATTCATTATTCCCTCTAAAGTGCAATTTCCAGATCTCTTTCCTATCTTTACCAACCATTTTCTAGAATCTTGCCTGGAATCCATACTTCACTCACATACTGCAGTATTTAAAAAATGAATTCCATTAAGACCGTGTCACAGCATGAAGAAAATGTCTTTCGCAGTATTTGCAAATTACTGTATATGGTGCTGAATAACCTACCATGCTTTGTGCTGAATACAGTCTAAATTCTGCTGTAATACTTGCACAGCAAATAATGAAGAGACAGCTGAAGACTGGAGCTGTATTGCCAGCGTAGGCAGACTGAAGAGAGGCTGCTGTAACCGAATAAGCAATATCTAGCCTTAAAAAGAAACTTCTCACAGTTGTGTAAAATTTCTGCCAGCACCCAGAGTTCTCATGTAGTCCATACTGATAGCTAACAAAACCTGAGCATATTGTGAACTAAGCCAAGTGGCACAAAAATTGATAGGAAAGTCAGTTGTGTGCTATTTATTTAAACAGGCTGAAGAAGACATTGCCTTTTGCGTGACAACTTTTTCACCAGAGAATTAAGAAACTTAGACACAGATGAGAAAACTGCCTTAGTGCATTCATACCTCCCACAGTGTACGGTAACACTGAGATCTAAGCTAGGCATGTTTAAACCATGACAGCAGGAGAAGGGACATATCCTCCTTCATGTTAAAGATACAAGTGTAACTCAGAGTAGACAGTCAATGCTCTGAAGTAGAACTGTATTTCAGACATAATTTCTTACTAGCCAACTCCTTGGGAGTCTGTTTAGTATACAGATTGTTTCAAACAGTATAGGGTGGTACAGACTCTCTCCAAGCACTGTGTGCAGAGTACTTAGGTGCATACCAGGAGCCAGGTATCTGACCATAGTGTGCAACATTTAGGCTACTGTATTTTCTTCTACATAGTCTTAAATGCTTTCCTCCCCCAGAAGAGGACGTTGCAGAGTCTCAGTATAGAATTCTATAAAGTCCCCTAGGACAATCATAGAATCACAGATTGGTTTGGGTTGGAAGGGACCTTAAAGCTCATCCACTTCCAATCCCCTGCAGTAGGGGGCTGCAGGGCACTTTCTGCTGGACCTGGTTGCTCAAGGCCTGTCCAACCTGGACTTGAACACTGCCAGACAAGTACATTTACAGAACTGAAATCCAACTGGAAAAATTTAATCTTCAAATACAAATTTTTAGTATGAAAACCATCTTGTTCTGATGCTGCCATGTTGTGTGTTTCATATGAATGCAAACTTCATATGAAGTACCATATCATTTAGGTTAGTTTGTCTGTGCCTGTTCTCCCCAGCCCATCTTTTTTTTTTTTTTTTTTGTGCATTTGACTTGATTACTGGACTGTTAAAACTGGAATACATCTATGCTAAAGCTCCTTGTATAGAAAAGGATATAACCGAATTCCATAATAGACAGTCATTCAGTTTCCAAGAGACATAAAAGCAAATAGTACAGTCACCTTCATATCATTATTATGATAATAGATTTCCCTTTTACAGAAAAAAAAAATCATTTTAAATGTAGGTTTCCTTCTACTGACTTCAATGGGAATGTTACCAGGAGGAGCAAAACATGGTAAGATAAACATCATCTGTAGCTGTTAATTTAAGCCTACTTGTACATTTTGGAATATGAGCTGATGGATAGAGTTTCAGGCTTGAAGACACATCCCAGCTGAGTCAGTCTACACTGGCCACAGAGTTCCACCTGCCACTGAAATACTGTGTAGGGGCCACTACTACAGACAGAGAATTAGACTTGCTGAACAAGGATGGTAAATCTCATTGACACACAGATTTAGCCTCCAATGCCAGTAAGTCATTCCATTAATACAGCACTTATACGGCAATCACAGTGCAGCTTGCTTTGTCTTAATGCATGATCAGAAAATGTGAAAAATCATAATACCCTTATCATAATCCTCATTTTTTCTTTGCAGAAAAGAAAAGAACTGGATTGTTTGAACAAATTACCAGAACTCATGGAACGATCATTGGCATCACATCAGGAATAGTTTTAGTACTTCTCATCATTTCAATTCTAGTACAAGTAAAGCAGCCTCGCAAAAAGGTTATGGCTTGCAAGACTGCATTCAATAAAACTGGCTTCCAGGAAGTATTTGATCCTCCACATTATGAACTGTTTTCACTACGGGACAAAGACATTTCAGCAGATCTGGCAGATTTATCAGAGGAACTTGAAAACTACCAGAAAATGAGACGCCCTTCAACAGCTTCCAGATGCATTCACGACCATCACTGTGGCTCCCAGGCCTCTAATACAAAACAAAGCAGGACAAACCTCAGCTCCGTGGAGCTTCCCTTCCGCAATGACTTTGTGCAGCCTCAGCCAATGAAAACATTTAACAGCACATTCAAGAAAAGTAGTTACACTTTCAAACAAGTGCATGACTGCCCTGAGCAAGTCATAGAAGACAGGGTGATGGAGGAGATTCCATGTGAAATTTATGTTCGAGGAAGAGAAGATGCAGCACAAGGTTCATTATCTATTGATTTTTGATTTCCTAGTGAAGGTGGTGTCAGTGTCTACAAGATGCTTGTGTACAATGACAGTATATATTAAAAGTGTATTATATGCAGCGTGTGAGATACACATGCTTTTAGCTTATTATATTTCATTTTAAATAAGTCTGCATAAGTAATTCTTTCTGAGAAATGGTGGATTTCCCCCCGTCTTCCCAAGATACTTATCTAGTGGAGGAGTAAGACAGACTTTGCATGGAAATTATAAATAAAGGATATTGGAAGAAAAAACCCAGCAGTTACTAATCACTGAAGACTGAAAAAAATGATTACTATTCTCTTCCTTATCTAATTTTCTCTTCTTTAGGCGTCTGCTTTTCAAGACAATTTTAATATCTCAGTTACATAAATAAAAGTAAAGTGCACCACATGTATGTCAACATAGGTGTCTTACTGTATTTGTCAAATTGAAAGTCGTGTTAAGTGCCAGTTAAGAATCAAGAATAGTGTTACAGCCATGTTTCATCTTGCCTACTATTTATATTGCCTTTAATTGTTAGTTCCTCACTCTGCTTTGTGAGAAGTAAGTGGAAAGGATTACTGCCTTTTAAAATACTGAGTCACATGAATTTTAATATATTTGAACATATGTAATTTTGCAGCTTGTGGTTTAAACGCAAGTTAAGTACTCATGTTAGTCTAGATGCAGACTTTCACAACAGTATTTTTTCAAGAAGGTTTGGGATTTTAAAATATTCTGCCATGTATTACAGATCCATATGGCTCACTGATTTCACAGCTCTGTAGTTAGAAAACAATTTTGTTCCTGCCTTTTCCAAGTACTGTCATAAATAGGCTGTACTGTACATTTGTTCCTTAAATAGCTTTTTCCTCCATATTGCAGCAAATCTTCCCTACTGAAATCAGTGGTAATACTTTTAGCTCATGTCCTACTTGCCTGAAGAGAACTGCTCTGAGGTCTGTGTGACTACCAGGTACATGAAGATACTGGAGATAGAGAAATCACAAAGCAACTCTTAATTTACCCTTGGATCATTTGTTACACCCCTTGATTCCACTCGCAAAATTGCACATTTCATACCTTTTTTAATAGTGGTTTGGACCTAATTTTAGAATTTTTACAATATAAAAAACTTTTAAAAATAAAATAATTCTCATTGTGTTTTTAAACTTTTTATACAGTTTGATACTGTACAGACTATCTATTGAAACAAAATCTAACAGCTGTACAGCAGACTTGTTTCAGTGTCCCTGTTTGCAGCTCAAAGTAACATGCAGTGCCTGCTGTGTACATTGCAGTTTGCCAAGAATACTTAATATGGCTTCTACATTAGCCTACATTTTAGTCCCTGGCTTGTTTAGGCTTATTCTGGTATTTCGTTTTTAGGAAACCTTTCACTGAAGGTGACCAACCAGCGTGTACTGTGCATATCCTTTATTTACAAATGTATGTAAAGCCATAATGCTTGCTGTGCTATTGTACAAAAAAAAAAAAAAACAAACAAGAAAAAAAACACAAAACTTTAATATATAACCCTAGTAACTGAAAAATCTTTTCTTTAAAATAAAAAATTAACAACAGCTGTAATCACAGATTTCCATAAGAATGATTTTTTAAATGTATTTGCAAATGCTTAGAATGCAAGAAATGAAAGGGGGAAAAAAGAAAAAAAAAAGAGGATTGAGGGAAATTGCGTACCTCCAACTCTTCCCAATTTAAAAATTAACCCAGTCAGATGTCTAGAAAAATTTAATTTGAAGCTCAAATATCAGACCCATAAGGCTGTATCCTGGTGTCAGGTTTTGTGCTGGTCCCAGAGTGTATGTTAATTTGAGAGAATGAAAATGGGCATTATTTTTAGATGCACTTCATGCAGATGTGTTAAAAAATCTACCTGAGTTGACAATTTTTGAGTATGTAGTTAAAACATTTCTTGATAGATTTAGTTTAATTCTCATTGATTTCAGTAATAAATATTTCACCACAAGTTATATGGTACAGAATGTTATTTGTGACAGTCTGTTAATTCCGGATTCTTTCTACAAGAATACGCAGTTTTACATGGGTCATTTTTATCCATATAACTCTTGTAACTGCTAGGTGTGCCTGATTAAGTTTTCTTTGAGGTATATTTGTTCATGTGATAAAAATAATGTGATCCCTATTCTTTCCTAAGTTATGTTGTCTTTGAGCAGTATACTGTAACAATAAAATAAATAGCAAGCCTGCAAAGCCCAATTTCATGGCGAAAAGGGGGAAAGTTCTATTGAAGAAGTTCCCAAATGGCCCGAATAATGTTTCAGTCTCTGTTGTAACTTTTTGATTACATGGTCAGAACACGGCTGCTTTCGGCAGTTTTTATACCCCAGAGAATAGAGGTGAGCTTACGTAGCCAGTCATGTATTCTGTGCAGAACTTTTTCCAGTGTCCAGAAGCCCAGCTCTACAAGCTTCTCTTTCCCCACTTCCTTGCTGTGTAATAAGGGTTTTTTGGTCTTTAGGATAAATAAAGACCAGATACTCCTGCCTAGTTAACACCTGGTCCCTAGACAGACATGGACCAAGAAAAGGCAAACAGCATTAGTTACTTTTTGATATTTATAATCCATTTGTCTTAGTAGTTTAGACATCAGGCTATGGAACATGAAGAAGATTTGTTGTGGATGAAAGTTGTAGAAATAAACCTACAGCCAAGACAAAAAAAAAGCAACTAAGAACCATGGTACTTGGGAGTTCTGTCAGGATAGGTCTGAATTTACAGACATGACATTAGCAGTACAGGAAATTCAGACTTGTAAGTGACTCCAAAATGTTTCATAGAATCGTAGAATAGTTAGGGTTCGAAAGGACCTTAAAATCATCTACTTCCAACATCCCTGCCATGGGCAGGGACACCTCACACTAAACCATGTCACCCAAGGCTCTGTCCAACCTAGCCTTGAACACTGCCAACAATGGAGCATTTACTACTTCTTTGGGCAACCTGTGCAAGTGTCTCACCACCCTCACAGTAAAGAACTTCTTTATATCTAACCTGAACTTCCGCTGTTTAAGCTTAAACCCATTCCTTGTCCTATCACTAAAGTCCCTAATGAAACATCATAGAATCATAGAATCCTCACCAGCATCCTTGTAGGTCCCTTCAGACACTCAAAGGCTGCTATGAAGTCTCCAGGCTGAACAGACCCAGCTTTCTCAGCCTGTATTCATGTGCTCCAGGCCCCACATCATCCTTGAGACCCAGCTCTGGACTTGCTCCAACAGTTCCATGTCCTTATGTTGAGGACACCAGAACTGTACACAATGCTCCAAGTGGGGTCTCACAAGAGTAGAGGGGCAGGATAACCTACTTTGACCTGCTGGTCATGCTGCTTTTGATGTAGCCCAGCACACAGTTTCTGAGCTGAAAGCGTGCACTGAATCTTGCTCATGTTAAGTTTCTCATCAACCAACATCCCCAACTCCCTTTCTGCAGGGCTGCCCTGGATCAGTTCTCCATCCATCCTTTAGCTGTGCCTGGGATTACCCCAACCCAGGTGCAGGACCTTGCACTTGGCATGGTTGAATTTCATCAGCCCACCGCACAAGCGTGTCAAGGTCCCTCTGAATGCCATTCCTTCCCTCCAGCGTATCAACCGAACCACATAGCTCGGTGTCATCAGCAAACTTGCTGAGAGCGCACTCAATCCCACTGTCCATGTTAGTGACAAAGATACTGAGCAAGACCTGTCCCAACACCGATCCCTGAGGGACACCACTTGTTACTGGTCTCCAGCTGGACACTGAGCCATTGACCACAACTCTTTGCGTGCGGCCATCCAGCCAGTTCTTTATCCACCGAGAGGTCCATCCATCAAATTGATGTCTCTCCAATTTAGAGACAAGGATGTTGTGTGGGACAGTGTTTAATGCTTTACACAAGTCCAGATAGATGACATTAACTGCTCTACCCCTGTCCATCAGTTCTGTAGCCCCATCATAGAAAGCCATCAAATTGGTCAGGCAGGATTTCCCCTTCGTGAAGCCATGCTGGCTGTCACCAAGCACCTTGTTGATTTTCATGTGCCTTAGCATGCCATCCAGGAGAATCTGCTCCAAGATTTTGCCAGGCACAGAGATGAGACTGACTGATCTGTAATCCCCCGGGTCATCCATTTTCCCTTTCTTGAAAATGGGGGTTATATTTCCCTTTTTCCAGTTGTTGGGAACTTCACCTGACTGCCATGATTTTTCAAATACGATGGCCAGCGGCTTCGCAACTTCATTTGCCAGCTCCTTCAGGACCCGCGGATGGATCTCATCAGGACCCATGGACTTGTGCACGTTCAGATTTTAAGATGGTCTCGAACCAGTTTCTCTCCTACAGTAGGCGCAAGGTCTTCATTCTCACAGTGCTTGCATCTGCCTCCCAAGACTTGGGTGGTTTGGTCAGAGCCTTAGCCAGTGAAGACCAAGGCAAAGAAGTCATTCAGAAGCTCAGCCTGCTCCAAATCCTGCGTAGCCAGTTCTCCTGAGAGCTTCCTGAGGGGACCTACATTCTCCCTAGTCTGTTTTTATTTGCTATGTACCTGTAGAATCCCTTCCTGTTATGCTTAATACGCCTAGTTTAATTCCAACTGGGCCTTAGCTTTCCTAACCTGGTCCCTAGCTTCCCAGACAACATCCCTGTACTCTTCCCAGGCTGCCTGTCCTTGCTTCCACTTATTATAAGCCTCTTTTTTTCATTTGAATTTTCCTTAGGAGCTCCTTATCCATCCAAGGAGGTCTCCTGGCCCTCCTGCTGCACTTCTAGTTGGAACACAACACTCCTAAGGTTGTAGCAGGTGATCCTTGAATATCAACCAACAGTCTTGGCTCCCCGTGCCCTCTAGAGCTATATCCCATGGAAGCTTACTAAGCAGGTTCCTGAAGAGGCCAAAGTCTGCTCTCTTGAAGTCCAGGGCAGTGAGCTTGCTGCACGCTCTTCTCACTGTCCTGAGGATCTCAAATTCGACCATCTTGTGAACGCTGCATCCAAGGCTGCCCTGGAGCGCCACATTTCCAACAAGCCCTTCCCTGTTGGTGAGCACGAGGTCAAGCATGGCACCTCTCATTGTTGGCTCCTCTATTACTTGCAGAAGGAAGTTGTCTTCCACACAATCGAGGAACATCCTGGATTGCTTGTGCCGGGCCGTATTGTCCTTCCAACAGATGTCAGGGTGGTTGAAGTCCCCCATGAGAACAAGGGCCTGTGAGGATGAGGCTTTTTCTATCTGACTATAGAGTGCTTCATCCACAGGTTCTCCTTCATCAGGCAGTCTGTAACAGATCCCCACAGTAATGTCTCCCATAGCTATATTCCCTTTAACCCTGCCCCACAAACTGTCTGTGGACTGCTCCCCTTTCCCTAGACAGAGTTCCATACTCTCCAGCCCATCCCTAACATAAAGGCCAACCCCCCATCCCCGCCTGCCAGGGCTGTCTTTTCTAAAAAGCCTGTAACCTTCCATTCCAACACTCCAGTCATAGGAGCCATCCCACCATGTTTCTGCGATGCCTATTATATCATCCTTGATATTATATGATTCTTGAATATCAATCTGCAGTCTTGGGAGGCCCTGCCTTCTAGGGAACCTTATTGAACAGGTTCCTGAAAAGGCCAAAGTCTGCTCTGTTGAAATCCAGGGCAGTGAGCTTGCTGCATGCCCTTCTTACTGCCCTGAGGATCCCAAACTCGACCATCTCATGATCGCTGCTGCCAAGGCTGCCTTAGAGTGTCACATTTCCCACCAGCCCCTTTCTCTTGGTAAGCACGAGGTCATTGGTAACAGAAACACTAATTTATACTTAACATGCATGAAAGTGTCTTGTTATGAAAAGAGCTGTCACTGACTCACAAGAAAAGCTGCTTGTCTTGTGAACACAGAAGTTTTGAAGTCATTCAAATACACTTTGTTCTGTTTTGCACTTCGTACAAAGAATTCTTGGCATTAGTAGCAAGTCTTCTAAATGAGAAAAAAGGATTGCCCTATTTTCAAATGAATTTAGTAATTAAAAAAGGTTATAAAACAATGATCATAATGACATTTAATTTTCCAAACTATATAAGTATAATCCTTTATCAAAAGGCTACCAACAGCAAAATATTTTTTAAAAAATCCTAGCATCTATACCTGACAAAATAAGTCACTGCTTGAAACAGAACAACTAAATTCATATGGATATACTGAAACATATCTACAGTTGGATGTTCCTGTATGGTCGATCTCTATATCTTTTCACAGCAAAACTCAATCAAATCTGTCTATTTTTACATGTCCTTACTTCAGTGTTTATGTTGAGCCCTATGATTACTCAGAAGGTCTGTAGATTGTTCACCAAAACAAAATTTCAAATCGACAAAAGCCTGACGATGTTGATTTTACATTTTTTTGAGCTCACACAGTTAGAACTGAATATTATTTATAATGAGGGAAAGGATTTTAAAAATCTTGTGTTTTTTTTAGTTGATTCATGCCTTGAAAATGAGTATTTCTATCATCTATCTCAATCTAACAATATAAAAGCTACTACCTTTAAGAATTCTGTTCCTGTAGTTTCCAATCACAATCACTGTACAGCGTAAATCCCCGTATAAATGCACAAATAAGTTACGTGTCAATGTGCTCTAATCTGTGGTTCTGTGTCACCATGGAACTCCAAGTTTATTTTTGCATTCAAATTCCTTTGCTACACTCCATTTTAGAGAATCAGCTTAACAAAAATCTGTTTTCCATCTGTTCAATAAATCACCAGGACATTTGTGACTTGTCAACTTATTCCCTCTTATCTAGCTATTGAAGATAGTCTACCATTTACCAGATAAAACAACTTAATTTTTATAAGCCTGTTCTTACAGAGCTAGGCTGAGCGAGAAACAAAGAAAGCGAGGTCTTTTGAAGTCTTTTCATTACTATCACTTAATTTATGTCAATAGCTGGTGAATGTGGCCAGTGTACTTAAAGGATGC